TTCTTAGAAATAATTGATATTTAAGATATGAATAGCAATAAATATACTGTAAATTTACTGTATATGCCTGTTCTGAAGCACACAAAAATGCAAACAAAACGATATACAGTATTTAACTAAACGTATTTAATTTAATTATAAATACGTTAATGTATTGGGTTTATGATAATATGTAAAAACATTAATTAATAACCTAAATTTAATTAGATTCTAACTCTTTGGTTAAATTATAATAATTGATAAAAATAATTACCGGTGACATAAAGTGTAAACTATTACTTACAGGACAGTAAATTTGAAGTCTGAGTCTCATAAATACAACAAAATATACACGAAATGAATATTTTATTCAACTAATGGCTCACATTTACATTGTTTCCTCAATTCAATAAAAGGTTTGATGTATTGAAATAAATATAACAACTTATTGTCAGTTATGGGATGTTTGATAAAAAAGTTATCGTTTTTATTAGACTTATTAGACTTATTGTGGTGATCACTGGTGTGAACATCGGGTTCACTAAAATGCTTGTATTTGTTGCAGAAGTGACCACATTTGCGGACATCATAACAGGCGCGGGTCAGCAATTGCATGGCTATCCGATCGGCCTCTTCCTCCAGTTCTTCGGAGTATGCGTTCAAATAAACACACTTTCGGACCAATTGTTTGGCCATTTTATCCAAAAACGCGTTAATACTCTCGAAGATCTCTAACCGCAATGGTTTATCCTGGTTAATCAACCAGAACTTGGGCACAATCGCCATCAATGGCCTGTATAGCATCGGTATGTATGTAGTCTGTGGTGGCAACCAATCAAACAATACATTACTGTTTCAGTCTATTAACAGATCTATTGTTTCGTTAGAAATACCGGTTCTCTGGAGTGGTCTAACATAGAGTGCGACAACTGGTGGGCCAACAGATACGCCAACTCGTCGTCCGTTTCGCACAAATCCAATAACTTTCTCGAAATGAATATATTTTGCGACTCTTTCAACACAATCACATCCAACATGTGGTGGTTGTCGATGACAACTGGCGTCCACTTCCCGTCTCCAATCACGTCGAGGTCATCGTTGGCGCCAATCAGTCGGTCCACACATCTGTCCAGTCGTTTGACCGATGGGTCAGTCGATGGCACGAATCGCCCGGAATTCAAGTTCTCAATGAATATCTCTTTGAAGACATCCGTCTCTATTTCGGCCAACATTTCTGGCGTTCAGTGAAAGTATGAAAGCAAACAATATTTGTCACAAATGGCACCACAAGTGGACAAACCTTCGGGTATATTGTAGACAGTGGGCCGACCCGTCAGAGGGTTGTCCTCTCCGTTGGCATACATATAGACGACACACAAGAGGGCCAACACTCCCAAGGGTTTGATGGCATACACGAGTAGTGCCGACAAATACATCACTTTCCGACGCTCTCGAGGGGTTGACTCGTACCACGAGATCAGTTCACTACAAGACACCATAGTATAGACACTATTCACTGATAATACATGTCCACAATTAATACATACTTCGGTTTCTTCATAACCAACTCAACCCATGGATGCCTTTGAGGCAGTTTGTGGTAATCCGTTATCTCTTTCATGCCATTCCTCTCTAGTCTCAATTTAGTGACATTTGTGTCACTTTTGGCCACTTTATGGTCACAAAAGTGACGATTAATTGGACACCAATTTGTGGACCAATTGTGAGCCAAACGCCATCCACTCAATGGACTCACAAATGGATGTCTTATTTGTATCTCATTTATCACTGAATAATGTCTTTGTATTTGTTTGGCGTTTGTCTTAAAGTTAACAAACATTTAGACAACAAATATATGTTTGACTAATGAATGCAATCAGAAATGACTGCAAAAGTGAGACACTTTGCTATCATATTATTCATTCAAATGATGTCTATTGTAATGTAAACATAAACACATGTGTTTGCAAAATACCGTATCATATGATTCATGTGTACAATCCAATTGTGGGTTTGCTTATGAATAACGTTACAAAACTATATTTTATAAATTAAACTTCAATTTGAATTTGTTCATTTACTATATTCTATGCAGTTGTACACAATTGTGGTTAACTCATAAAATAAATTAAGTTATCCAAACTATATCTTACAAATTATTGTAAGTGACTTACAATACAAAAAAGTAAGAATAACATGTACCCACTATTGGACAATTAACTAAATTTATTAACTTCTATCATATGTGTTGATTCTGCACCATAGAATCTATGGCATAGATGCTTACAGTATGACATAGTTTTATAATTTCAAAAATTCACTGATAACACTCTGGAGATTGAGTCAGGTTCAATCACAATTTTGTGTAATTGTTTTGAAGTGTATTTACAGTTCCCATAAACGCACAGATTATATGGCATAGACGTGTGACATAGTATAGAGACTGGAACCCAATGGGACTGGGACGAGAGTGGGACTGGAATAAATAGGACAGGGAGGGACTAGGACTCAAAAAATCCCAAACTCCAAAGCCTACTCGTAAGAAATTTACATATAAATATTAATATATCATATTTATTTATTTTAATGATAATATTGATTAACATAAATGATTTGTTACATGGTCATATAAATTGATTATTGTCAATAAAATGGAAAAATTATTTAATTGAAAATATTAATTATTGTATATTTTTATTAAAGTAAGTTAATGGCTATAACTATAACAATCCAGTATAATAAAACTACTGGGTAATATTAATTGAAAATTTCTTTAGATTCATATATGGATTACAATATTTTAAAATATGGCATTTTAAATTATTTAAGTAAAATATTCTAAATATTAATACTGTATACATAAATTAATTAAATTAAATTTTCTAAGAAATTTTCAATTAATACAAAATAAACAAATAATTTAAAAAAATATTATGCAAAATGAAAGGAGTTAGTAAATTTAAATAAATATAGGAATTATTTATAGTTTTATAGTTATACTTTAAAATATTGTTTGACAAGACTTATTTATAATAACATTTTAAAATATACTGTTTAGTATTATTCATAAATAGTTTTCTTAAGCTATTTTAATATAGTATTCAATAAAACAATGCTTTAAATATACATTGAAAGGGTTCCCAAATAAACACTTCATTTTTCAATTACAAATTCTCACGACTTGTTTCTCTTTGCAGATCTTTCTCTTCAATTTGCCATTTAATCCACTTTTAGACAACTCTTCAGAAATATACCTAATTTTAGATGCAATGTAATAATGAAAGTATATTTTAGTGCAATTATTTAAATAACACTTATCGGACATCAAAATAACAATAAGATTAATGATAAGAATATTATAATTGATAATAAATACAACTCGTATGGGGTGGACCTTTAAAATAACAATTGCCAAAATAAGGTCAACCCTTGCACTGAATTCTCAATATTACAAACTTCTTATTTTTTATAAAAACCACTATAATTACAGTATATTCTCTGTAATAATACTCGTTATATTTCAATAGTACAACTCATTATTGTAAATAAATGGATTTGTACCATATACCAATTTTACCTTTTAAAACTAATATTTTTTTTAATGGTAGAAATTAATAAATTTTCAAATGCTAAACTGATTATACACTTTAATTAAATGTTTATTTATTATTTCTATAAATGCATAGTACTGTATGCATAAAATTATTATAATTATATATTGTTTATCTAATAAATAATTTGCTATTCAATAAATTGAAATAAATTTATATATCGAGAATAAATTGTATGTTTATTTTTAAATTTCATTTTTATCAATACTTGATTTGTTGTATACTTTAGAAAAGAGATAATGATTCATAACTGAAGGCAACAATAAAAAGTCTTTTGTCTATTATTTTAGGTATATTTATAGACATAACGTATGATAAGTGGAGTTTAGGATCAGATATTTCTATAAAGAAGAAAGTATTACAAAACCTTTTCATCATTTCATTTTCATTTTCTCTATTAACCAGACGTTTTAAATTCACTAAAGTTTTGTGTGATATTAAATATCTTAAACTTTAAAAATGAGATTTAATGTAAAGTTAATTTAATATGAATTTATAAAATCTATTTCACTCATTGATTAGAATTTTAATTTTGTTTCAGAGTTTATGGAAAATCTTATTCGTTGTGATGTCAACAGTACTGATGAGAGCCGAGACCCAAGTATTTAGTGGTTTGGGAGCTTTGGGTCAACTGTTGGGACAATTTAGTGGTGGAGGGGGTGGAGGTTTATTGGAGGCTTACCAACAACAACCTGCCTTCAGAATAATCAGTGCTCTCATACCAGCCTTAAATGGCTTCAATGGTTTTGGTGACTCTCCCTCTCCTCCACCGCCCTCTCCCTCATTCAGACCGTTCAACAGATTTCCGCCAACTTTTGATAATTTCAATGCTTTAAATGGATTTTCAGCCGATTTTATGGGAAGTCATGAACACACGGATGAAAGTCAACGAATCAATTGGATTGGAGGCCATGAGATGAACACTTTTGATGAAACACATCATTCGTCCGATGATAACGACTATTGATTCAAATGATAACTCACTTCCTATTCATTACAAGTCATGCGTCCCTAATATTCCTTTGCATCAGGTTTTAGTTTTTACTGTCATATCAATTTTTAATATTTGATATTTTGTTCAGTAGTAAATGATAATAAATATAATATTATCACTAACTGATAATTGTCATTTTGATGAAAATTTAGTTTACAATTAAAGTAATAATGGTTTTATTTTTAATCAAAATCTTTTTCTTGATAAAACTACTTTTTAAAGTCTTTAATATTTTAAAAATATATTGTATTATAACGTTATATCTATTTTACTATAATCTGTAATTTGAATTTAAATAAAAATATCATTATTACTAACTACATAATTGTATAATTCAATAATATGCAAAACTATTGTTTTTTATTGTTATTGTATTAGTCGATAAATTATAAATTAAAGTAGATTTTAATAAATACCTGTTCTGGTTGTTTGTGATGAAATCTTTTGCTAAATCATCAAATTCATTGGTTTTGTGACCATATCTACCATTTTTACCAAAACTGTTTCCATTTAATTGAAACAATTTATGAGTAGACCATTGATTATGTGAAAGGCCTGTCTGGTCAGTCATCATATCAGACTCCATGGGTGAAGATGGGGGATAAGGTTGCAGATCTGAGGGCCAAACACTTCGACCTCTCATTGGTATAAACTCGGGTGGAATTTCTCTTTTAAACCATTTGTGAATCTTTTGTAAAATTGTTTTTAGATTTCTTATAAGTTATATNAGTCATCATATCAGACTCCATGGGTGAAGATGGGGGATAAGGTTGCAGATCTGAGGGCCAAACACTTCGACCTCTCATTGGTATAAACTCGGGTGGAATTTCTCTTTTAAACCATTTGTGAATCTTTTGTAAAATTGTTTTTAGATTTCTTATAAGTTATATTTTGCATTTAAAAATATAATAAGTAATAATACAAATTCTAAATACCTTTGTATTGAGTTGACTTGAATTTAATAGCAATCCTTTAATAGTTATTATAATTAAGAATAAAAATATTTTCATACTATTTTTCATTTTTCAGTATTTGGAAAAAATATTAAAATCCTTAATGTATTTATTACTTGTGATTATTAATGAAATAATAAGATGTACCAAAATCTATTCAAATATATATTAAATATTTTAATAATTTATTAAATATTTTAATAATTTATTAAAGAAAATTAAATGTAAAATAGATAAATAATAATATATAATCGTACAATTCTAAATAATATATTTAAAATTATTGAAGATTGAAGACATATAAATTTTGATCTCAACAAAATCAGAAAATGAAGAATATCATTAACTCAATATTAAACTCATAGATAATAACAGACAACACTTTCTAAAGATTTGCAGAACACTTTTATAAATAAAAATGGATACTTTTATTTGTTTTTAATTTAATTAGTCTAACAATTCTAGCAATGTTTTTAATACCGGTATATATTTAATTTGATTGTATACGGCAGAGCGTTTGATAACCTAAGGAAAAAATACGTTTGATTTGAAAACTCAAATGTGTAAAGAATTGGAACACCGAGAGAAACATTTTGGTACAAACAAATAGGTTTTATTAATAAGAGTTAATATTGGTCAGTTGTGGTCATGCATTTTGAAAATAAACTGCGATCAGTTATAAACAAACTATTTTTTCCATAATTAAAAATAGTAAATATTAATCAATATTAACAAAAAGTATACAAAAATGTTCAGGGATAATGAAATTTTTATATATATTAAAGAATAGACACAAGGTATTTACCTTGATAATAAATATCGAGTAAACGTGTGAACACGTGCTTCAAATGAATACCTAAAATCACTGGTTCTTAACAGTGCTCTCAAACGCAAAGCAGTGAAAGTTCNTGAATACCTAAAATCACTGGTTCTTAACAGTGCTCTCAAACGCAAAGCAGTGAAAGTTCGCAACAATTGAATCAATGCTTCCATTCATAGCACTGTTAGGAATCATGCATTTTATGTGTACTCGAAACGCATGTTTGCACGTTTACTCACTATTTATTATCAAGGTAAATAACTTATGTGTATTCTTTAATACAGATATAAAAATTTCATTATCCCTGAACATTTTGGTATACTTTTTGTTAAAATTGGTTATTATTTATCATTTTTAATTAAGGAAAGAAATAGTTTGTTTATAATGGATCACAGTATATATTGAAATTTGAAAATAGAATAATATTAAACTCTAATATATTTATAAGTTAAATAATAATTTCATATAATTTCATAGCAACATTTCATATCCTTTTATTATTGTAAGTTTATTGTGGATATCCCTTTATTCCCTTTTAAATATTTTAAATATTAAATAATTTATTAAATATCAAATAATTTATTAAATATTAAATAATTTATTTTATTTATCAAAATATTAAATCCTAATATGTATCACTAATTTCAATAATAAACTATTATGTATTACCAAAATATTTCTCTCAGTGTACTATTTTTTTCACATATTTGAGTATTCAAATCCAACGTATTTTTTCCTTGGGCTATCAAATACAGTAAGTTTATAGTTACAATATTAGTAAATAATAAAATAATCACAACAATTTCAATTGTAGTTATTAAATTAAATTAACATTTCACATATGAAATTATTAGATTAAAGAAAGGTATTATATATGATATTATGATAATGTTATAAATATGATATAATGTTAGTCTCATAGCAGAATAATTGCAAGTTACCAAATGCTCAAGGGTACCTATTTTCGAAATTTCCACCTAATCCAGGGCTTGTAATAAATAATATAATATAAATTATTGAGCACCTTAACTTAGAATTTAGCTAACAAGTAAGTATTAACAAATATTCTGTATTTTATTATATTATTGAAATGGTCATAATTCCTAAATTATTCATATGTAAAAATAGACTTATTATACATGTTCAAGTTAACTCTTAATATCAAATATCTATGATTTAGTTTCAATAATTTTAATTATAAAATGTATTCTAAGTTAGAATTTCTATAAGTTATATAAGAATCATAAAGTGATACTGTACAGTATAGTAATAATTAATAAAATTATTAACAACATATTTTTCCATATTAAGGACTTTTACTATTTTATTTTAATATTTAGCTACTCATTATTTTGAATTATATTATGAAATATTTAAATATTATATTACATAATTTAATTTATTACAGTTCACTTTACCATAATTTAATATATTTCTATAGAATTCATAAAAATCACACATTTTATGGCCAAATTGTTTATTATATTTAATCCCACTTAATATTTTATGACTTTACTAAAATATAATTAAATATAGTGACAATTATTTTATAATACTTTGTATGTAACATTTTACAATAACAATGTACTAAAACAAAACCAATTACCGGTATATTAATTCTCATAGGAATCAGAATTTATATCTCATGAGAAATATATAATAAAAGCACTCTATATTAACTCTATATTAACATTACCTCCAATTTTAATATCAATGCAATTATACAAATCATATTGTACTGTACAATAAATACTATATTTTTGTTAAAACAACAATTATTGTAGCGAAAAGCCAAACAGGACCAATCAACTCTACTTTAATATTACTGTTCAATATATAATACTTTTAGCCAAACAGTAATACTGTATTAAATCTGAGGTGAAAGTATTATTTCAATTCTCATACGTATATAAATTCTGTTTTACAGTATATACTGTATGTTTTCTATTAAAAGATTATTTTAGAGAAAAATAGTAATTATATTATTTTAAAATTTATTTTTTAGAATTATATTTTAAAACTATATTTTACTTTTAATCTGATACTATTTTGTATAAAATAAATAATAATTTATTTTAATTCAAAGTTATTATAATAATAATAAAATAAATATTATATGTTATTATTATTATATAATATGACATTATTAAAATTATAAATTCTTAGAGGATAAAATGCAAAAATATGAATATATTGAATCAATAAGATATCCAAATAAAACCAACTAAAATATTAAAACAATTATATATTAATTTAATAGTTTAAAACCAAGTTTATAAAAATGTGAATCATGAAATACCTGCTATTTTGTTGGAGAATCAATGACTTTGTTGTTGTTTATACAAGTCCAATTTTATTGAATGACAAATATTTGATTTGAACAATAACAGTAATATTGTTCATAACTCTTGTCTACAATTCAGTAATTGTCAATATATGACATCAATTATTATTTTTATACAGTATATAAA